CCATGCACCATTCCCGGCCACTACAGAAGAGTATCCATTCACCCCCGAAACTCAAGAGGAGCGGGAGGCACGAATCCGACGGAATTACCAGTCGTCTTTGACGAACTTTCTGGCTGTGTCCTTTTTCGTCGTCGTTATCGGAATCTGCTACCACATGACAGGACATATGGCTACCGAAAGAGAAATTGGCATGTCTCAATTGTTAGATGCTATGATGCCCACCAAGTATCGATGGCAGGCCCAAGTTGCAAGATTGCTCTCCTACCATATCGCCTTCACCCTAGTATATCTTCCAGGCTGGGTAATCGGCTCGATAATCATCGCGCGCGGAGTTTGGGCGGACACGAGTGTCGCCATCGTACTCATTTACTTCATTCTTACTGGTCTCGCTTTGGGATCGCTTTCCATATTAGGCGCCGCGTTCTTTAAGAGGTCACAGTTGTCTGGCGTTGTGACCGTGATAGCGTATATTCTGCTAGCAATCCTCGCTCAAACGCTAACGTCGCCTAGTACTGCGACGGTCACAGCGCTTAGTCTGCTTTTCGTATGTATTTCAGATTTATTCCCCCTTAAATATCTCAGTGACCAGCGTCTCCTAGCGAAATGCGATGCTTTGGCTCCTGAGATGTACCCTTTCCTTATGATGCACTGCTATCTTAGTATCCCTGTTACTGACTCGTTACTTTAGACGCCTTGCAATTTTGTTTGGTTCATGACTTTCATCGCGCGATGGGAAAGATACTCATATCCCGCAGATCTAGTGAACAAGCCACCGGAGAATCCATGGAACTTACCGGGCATTGTTTTCTGGATATTCCTCATTCTCCAGATTATTATCTACCCCATCATCGGCGCTTATCTTGAGCGCGTACTCCACGGCACCACCACGAAAGGTCGCACGATTCTCCAAGGTCAAAACGCCGAAACGGCACCCCCAGATGCCGTTCGCCTCGAGGGCTTTACGAAGATCTATTATCCTAATCCACTAACCCGATTCCTTCCCTTTAGTTCGACGCCAAAGGAACCAGTCGTGGCTGTTGATAAGTTAACTCTGACTGCGAGAAGGGGACAAATTCTGGCGTTGCTTGGTGCCAATGGCAGCGGAAAGAGTACCACATTGGACTCGATTGCTGGCATCAGCAAATTAACTAGCGGCGACATTACAATTGACGGCACCGGGGGCTTGGGTATCGCACCGCAGAAGAATGTCTTATGGGATGAGCTGACCGTCGAGGAACACATCAAGATCTTCAACCAATTAAAATCCCCAGGCAACACCGCATCTGCGAAAGAAATTCACGATTTGGTGGTGGCCGTTGATCTTGGACCAAAAGCTAAGGCCATGTCCAAGACTCTATCGGGTGGCCAGAAGCGAAAGTTGCAACTCGGAATGATGTTAACTGGTGGAAGCGCTGTGTGCTGCGTTGACGAAGTCTCTTCCGGAATTGATCCCCTCTCTCGACGCAAAATCTGGGACATTCTTTTGGCCGAGCGTGGAAGACGAACAATCATTCTCACAACGCATTTCCTCGATGAAGCCGATCTCCTTGCGGACCATATCGCCATCCTCTCCAAGGGTACGTTACGAGCCCAGGGGTCTTCTGTTGAACTTAAGGACAGACTGGGTGCCGGTTATCGGGTCCATGTCTTCAATGCCAGAGAGATCAAGAATCCTCCAGAAGTCGAAAATGTTACTCGTAAGATAGGCTTTGATGTAATCAGCTACATCGCACCTTCGTCAAGCCTTGCCGCCGAAGTGATACGTTCCCTGGAATCCGCCGGAATTCACGACTACAAGTTTTCCAACCCGACCATTGAAGACGTTTTCCTCCAGGTAGCTGAGGAAGTCAAAGGCGAGAGTGCTATAAAGTCACCGGATACCTCATCCTCTGCTGAAGCTAGTAACGATAAGCAGGCAGCCTCCGATGAAGTTATTGGTAGTGAGCCAGAGAAGGATGGATTGGAACTGCTGTCAGGACGGCCCATTGGCTACATGAGGCAAACGGCAGTGCTATTCTTGAAGCGATGCACCATTTTCAAGACCAACTGGTTTCCTTACGTGGCAGCGTTCCTAATTCCAATTATAGCGGCGGCTTTAACATCTCTCTACGTTACTGATCAACATCCTGTTGGGTGTAACCCAGCAGACCAAGGCTCGGCTGATACATCGGGTACTTCGGACCTCTACGACAACCTGTTTTTAGTTGCCGGCCCATCTTCACAATTCGATAACGCCACTATAGAGAGGCTTTTCGCCCCTACTCTCCAGGGCCAGAGCCAGAATCAGAGTCTGACACGGCGTCAATCCGGATTCGATAACGGCACGGAAGCTGGATTAGGACCACTAACCGCATTTCTCGAAAGTCTGCACCTTGTCGATTCTCTAGACGAATTCAACAACTTTGTCGAGCAGAGGCGGAAAGATATCAAACCTGCTGGATGGTGGCTTGGAGACGCTAATTCTCCGCCTACTATTACTTACGAAGCAGACGCTGGTGATGTCTACACCTCGGTCTTTGGTCAGAACGCTCTAGACATGATGTTGATAAATACTAGTATCGCTACGAATTATGCACCCTTCGATACACCCTGGGCACCATCGACTGGAGATTCACTGCAGCTCCTGATCTACTTCTGTTTGGCTCTCTCCATCTATCCCGCTTTCTTTGGTCTCTACCCAAATATTGAGAGGCGGCGAAATGTTCGCGGGCTGCAATACTCAAATGGAGTGCGCTCACTTCCACTGTGGGTTTCCTATACAGCGTTTGACTTTGCAATCGTCCTTGTTTCCTCCGCGATCGCCACCGGCATATTTGCCGCACAATCGGACGTCTGGTACCATGTCGCATATCTCTTCCTCATTTTCATCCTTTATGGACTGGCATCTATCCTATTCTCATATGTCATTTCTCTGTTCTGCGGCAACCAATTGTCGACCTACGCTTTCTCCGCAGCTGGTCAGGCTGTCGGCTTTCTAATCTACCTGATTGCATACCTGTGCGTTATCACATACGCGCCAGTCAACCGGATCGACCAGTCTATACTTATCGCCCATTTTGTGATTTCGGCATTCGTACCTATTGGCTCCGTCGTCCGAACGATGTTCGTTACTCTCAACCTCTTCTCTGTGACCTGCAACGGAGACCAGGTGGAACCTAACCCCGGCGCTCTGACTGCCTACGGTGGTCCAATTCTGTACTTGGTTATTCAATCGATCCTGTTGTTTGGTTTCCTGCTTTGGCACGATAGCGGGTCCGGAAGCTCTCTTCTCAGCCGCTTCACGAAGAAGCCTGGTCCATCTCCCAACGACCCAGCTGCTTCGGACGAGGAAGTAGCCAATGAACTTTTCCGCGTGACTAGCACGGCGCAGGAAAGTGACGGTCTCCGAGTGTTGCACTTGACCAAGTCGTTTGGTAAAAACACGGCTGTCGATAATGTTACATTCGGCGTTCAGCACAGCGAGGTATTCGCCTTGTTAGGACCGAACGGTGCCGGCAAGTCTACGACTATCTCACTGATCCGCGGCGATATCCAGCCAAGCCGTAATGGAGGCGATGTGCTTGTCGAGAATACATCCGTCAGTCGCCGTCGTGCCGAGGCTCGAGCCCATCTAGGCGTATGCCCTCAATTCGATGCCATCGATTCCATGACAGTCCTCGAGCATCTACGTTTCTACGCGCGCATCCGGGGTATCCCAGACATCGAACACAATGTACGAGCTGTTCTTCGCGCCGTGGGTCTCGAGGCCTTCTCGACTCGCATGGCGCACGCGCTCTCCGGCGGAAATAAGAGAAAGCTCTCTCTAGGTATCGCACTAATGGGTAATCCGAGCGTGGTCCTCCTCGACGAACCTTCATCAGGTCTCGACGCGGCGGCTAAGCGTATCATGTGGCGGACACTCCACTCAATCGTACCTGGACGGTCTATTCTTCTCACTACGCACAGCATGGAGGAAGCCGACGCGCTCGCAAACCGCGCGGGTATCCTCGCTAAACGCATGCTGGCCATGGGGACCACCGAGAACCTACGCCAGCGCTTCGGGGACGCTCTGCACGTCCATCTCGTCAGCAAAACGGCGCCGCACTCCACGCCGGAGGAGATGGACCGGATCCGGACCTGGGTCCTTGAGACCTGGCCCGAGGCCGAAGTCGAGCAGAAGACGTACCACGGACAGATGCGCTTCTCGGTGCCCGCCAGCGCGGTAGGAAGCCACGAGAGCAGCGGGAGCGCCGTCGGCCAGCTCATTGTCATTCTAGAGGAGCATAAAGAGGAGCTGGGCATCGAGCACTACTCGTGCACGCCGACGACGCTGGATCAGGTGTTTTTGACGATTGTCGGACAGCATAATGTAAAGGAGGAGGGATATAACGAGAAAAAGAAGAAGAGTTGGTGGAGTTGGGGATAGGGGGTTTGTATATAGGTGCATAATAGAGGAAGGATTCTCGTATATTAAGGGGTACATACTAATCATATAGAAGGCGGAAGGGGGTCACATACACGCGACATATAGGATGGCATGGATCTTCGTCATTACCTAGGTAGGTTAGATGGTATACATTGCATATACTGCATGGAAACAGTGGTCTGGATTTAGGGACACCTGCACAATGTGGAGCTTCATATCTTCAGGTTGTTATACTGTCTATATACAGGCCCTATTAAAGATACCTAGAGTTGCTACTGCTCGATGCAGTTAATGATCGATGATCGTATATCTAATAGCTGCGAAGACCGTAACGGTTGTTCGAATAGAGACATATACGAAAACAGCAAGTCAAAAGTTGGGCAAAGAAACAAACCGTATGGGATGCCAAACGCTTGCTCAAACGCTTGCCGCTCTTAGTCCCCACAATCGTTTGGCCATCGAAAGTTAAAAAGACCCAACCACTCACCCAGTCCAAGCCAACGCACACTACTAGTATCATGTCATAATAAAATGAAAGCGATTCCATCTCGATAACAAAACGTAGTAATAATTATGAGATAGGAGCAAAAACGAAGGGTTTGACCGGGGATCGAACCCGGGACCTCTCGCATTTATGATTGAAGAAATCAACCCAAAGCGAGAATCCTACCACTAGACCATCAAACCCCTGTAAGTACTTATCGTTCGTTTAAAGCATACTATAACGCTAACATATTCCGACCCCAAAACTCCACACAATGAAATTCCAGTCGCACAATGAGTGTCAGTTACGTGATTATTCGCAAATGGAAGCTGGAAACGTATAGTTTCTTATGGGAGATAATCTCATTGACATTTACGAGTCGCTGGACTGATGTGCATTGTATTGGGCGGGTGAACAGATTTGCTGCCTCAGGCATCCAGCTGGTACGTAGCCGGTGACAACCTGAGGTCAATCGCACATGATAGTATGAGAATCGGATGTTTCATTCTCAGTGTGATTCTCTATTCAATTCTCCTAAATTCAAGGTAGGTGTGTTGTATGCGCATTTGGTTTGTAAGTTGTCCGTTATTGCTGGTGGCAATGGTGTCCATTAGAATTCTACCGTTACACACAGTCAGAAAGTTTGTCAAGCCGTCTAGATGGTGCCACTTGTCTTAGATAAGGAGTGTCATAAGAGATACTAGGACTTTTAGAGCTATGCGGCTGGGATTTGAGGCCTAGGGATAATACCCTGCTACCCGTCATCGCACCGACTATTGTATGTGGTCTTCCAACCAAGCCGCAGCTAGTTCCTCTCCTTTGCCGCCGAGTCTATAATCACCAGTGTTAAATCCCACACCGTGGACTTGGATCCGTCTAGCAGCCTCGTCATTCAAACCGTCAAAATCATCATCCCATTTGAAACGCTCCCTTAATTCAACCTTATCTATACTTCTCTGCATCAACCCGGCCAGTTCCTCAGCTTGGGTCCTGAAATTGTTCCCCGGATGATCTTTTTTCCGCCTCTGTCGCCTCCTCCGGAGCGAGGGCGGCAATGGCGGTGGCGTGGAGTGCAAGAGCAAGGCCTCGGGGATTTTGAGCGTCGAGCTCCTCGGTGGGAAAACGAGCGGGCTCTTCCGGGGTGGCTTCAGGAGCATTAATGATCGGATTTTACTTGCTTCTTCCGAATCTGCAGGCAAATCCAGTATCGATGTCGCGGGAGAGAGGGCTGATTCGTTGAAAGATGAAGGCACGAAAAGGCCTGGAGTATGGAAGAACAGACAAGGGCTCGCAAAGGGGTCGAAGAGATTATCAGGCCTCTCGAAGAGCGCCTCAGCGTGCTGCTTCAGCTCCCGGAAGTCGGGATCCCCTGGATGAGCTAGGATGTCTTCAAATATGTTCATTGAACGAGGATTCGGTGCCTTGTTGATGGGGTGGTCCGGAAGAAACATGGTCCAGTTATATATCCCGTTATAAGCGACAACACCTCGAATACCCATCCGCGCATGCGGGTGAGTTTCAGTTAAGGCTAGCGACGTTGCGAGCGATGCACCAAGATACGAGCCATATACGTATACGTCCCGCCGCGTATAGGTAGACGGGCCGAGGTTTTCGATGATCCAGTCATATGCCCTTGCAGTATCGTGGATAGGAGCGGGCCAGGACAAATGAGACTCTTCATCTTCTTCTGACTGCTCGTTAGACTCTGGCGGTGACAAGTCCTCAACCTCAAAAGGATTGAAGCCAGCCCAACGATAGTTAATCACAGCTGTCGGTTTTCTCTGGAGGAACCTAGGCAGCTGTGCAGGCCTTTCCGTGAAGGCTGTTGAGTATGGCGGTAGATATATTAACAAGGGATCCGGTGATGACACCTTGGCAATATTGTGTAGGCTATTTATTCGCATGTGGAATTAGAATTATGAGATTAATTGTAGAGATATCCCATGACTCAACTTACTCAATAGTGACAAGACCTGACGAGCCATTGCGAACGCTCACTCGTTCTACATCATTGACAACAACGCTGAAGCATCTTGGTTTGTGGCCGCGAAGGCCTCTGAATACCGAGCTTCTAGTCCGGCCCCATCTTCTCATATTCTACCCGTTTAAGCCCTGTTTCTTGGAGTACCAATTCAATGAAGCATGGTATTTAGTTTGAGACGGAGACGGGATGACGCATTGGCGATAAGAAATTGAAGATGGTATTTTTAACGCGTCGAGCGATAACAAAATTTAGGGCCATGTGAGATCGGAGGTTCCAGAATTATTCAGCGGCTCTAGGCACCTAGTGGACCACTTAGCTTGCGATGACTCGGCATTCCAGCAGGTTATTGCCCCCTGATCCTAGCACTCCGGCGCTACGGTCCCCACTAGCTCCGCGGTCCAATGCCAAGCGACGTCATCCCACATAAACATTCCCATCAAGGATATGCCCGCCTGACCCCCCTTTGTATGCCATTTACATGCATCCTTATAAAGCATTTATATACCCAAAACATGAGAGAACTTGGAGATCCTATATATTATTCCTTTACAAAAAGGGGGAACCGATTCTAAGTCTCTGGCGAGGGTCAACCAGCAAGGCGCATGGGTCGAAAATAAACAAACCCTGGCCTCTCCACAAACATAGGTACGGTCTAAATATGAGCACCTACGGATGCGCTCATCGAGATGGACGATGCAAATCTTGGTGAAAACATCGACGAACAGGCGCAAGCCGTCGATGGTTCCGAGGATGGAAAGGACGGTCACCAAGGTATCATGAGCGACCAGATTCACCTGGATCCTAGGTGAGCAAGCCACTTGGTCATGATCCGTGGAATACCGAGGCTGGCCGACTAACACGACTGTAGCCGATGGTGGTTTGCTTCAGCCGCCTTCCCTATGATAGCTGGCACACTGGGTCCGGTGGCTTCGGCTTTCAGTATCTGTGCTCTTGTCAAATATTGGAGAGAGCACATTCCACCAGGGTCCGATGTCACCAAGGCCATCTTCGTCCCGGATCCCCCTTGGCTCACGGCCGTTAATGCCGTCCAGCTGATCATCGCTCTGGTTGCAAACGTATTCCTCTTACTCAACATGACCAAGAGAGTGCGGTTTTCCATCGCGCAGCCTATAACCATAGCCGGTTGGTACATCTCAGCTATCTGCCTCATCGCCCTGTGCGCCACAGCAAGCGGGCCGCTCGATCTCCAACCCAAGATCGAATATGTCTGGTCTCAGGCTTTCTACTATGGCATGTACGCAGCTATAATCTACTTCATAGTTGCGTCTCTCATGGTCATCACTGTCTGGGGCGCGGAGACAGGCCATTACGGTAAAGACTTTGAGTTGACGACTAGTCAGAGGACACTAATGCTCCAGACTATCGTCTTTCTCGTGTACCTGCTTATAGGTGCTTTGGTATTCTCTAAAATCGAAGGCTGGAACTATCTTGATTCTGTGTATTGGGCAGATGTTACTCTCTTCACCGTAGGCTTCGGCGAGATCTCTCCACAGACCACTCTCGGCCGTGCTCTCCTCGTTCCGTACGCCCTGGTTGGCGTTATCAGTCTCGGTCTGGTGATCGGGTCGATTCGAAGTATGATTCTCGACAGGGGTAAGCACAGGTTGGACGCGCGCATGCTTGAACGACAGAGACGTCTATCTATTCGACGCATCTTCCGAAAAGGAAACGCTGGTGTCCTTACACCGGTCGATGACGAGGCTTCGGAAACTTCTTCGAGAGTTCGATGGACGGAATTCGAACGCCGTCAAAAGGAATTCCAATTGATGCGGAAGATCCAACGACAGGTACGTATGAAATAATATAAATCAAGCTTCTCCTTCCGCCTCATACTCTACTACGTCCATATACTAATTAGGGGTAGTAAGTGTTTAATACCCTTTTCCTCCATATCGGTCTCGTAATAGGAACCGTTGGCAGTGGGGAACTTGAAGTCAAATATGGCATTCTTTCGTGATATTATAGTGTAGTCCAACAGCAAGACCTCGCATGTCGCCGTACGGAACTAACGTATAGTAGAGCATCAAGAAGAGAGAGATGGACCGCCATGGCCGTGTCCTCATCGACTTGGGTTGTGCTTTGGCTCGTCGGAGCAAAAATCTTCCAGGAATGCGAAGCTCCATATCAAGGGTGGACCTATTTTGACGGCTTCTATTTCGCATTCACGGCTCTGACGACGATCGGGTACGGTGATCTCACGCCGGTATCAAACTCGGCCAAGGCTTTCTTCGTCTTCTGGTCCCTCCTCGCCCTGCCCACTATGACTGTTCTCATATCGAATGCCGGAGATACGATCGTTAAGGGCGTTAAGGACGGCACGCTGCTGCTCGGGAACATAACGATTTTGCCGGGCGAACACGGCTTTAGGAAGGAAATGAAACAGGTGTTGGCGAAATTGTCCTGCGGGGTATTGTTCATGGACAGCGATATCGAGGAAACTGCTCCGGGCTTCCTGGGAGCGGCTCGTGAGCACGCAGACGACGATGACGACGACGAAGAGGAAGAGAACGAAAACGGGAACTCACCCGATTCAAGCGAAGTCAACAACGTAGAGACGAACCAGAGGGCTGAGAGGGACGCGGCGAAGGGGGAATCGAGTCCTGCATCTCCACCCGCAGGAGGCGCATCAACCGAATCGGCATCCAAACCATCGCCTCGCAGAGACTCGAGATCGAAGTCTCCCTCGCGCGCGTCCTCAATAGCTCGCGAGAGCTTCCCTACCGAGCTACCCAAATCCCGCGCCGAATACCACCTCGTCCTGATCGACGAAATCTCGCGCGTGACTAAGCATCTGCGGCACTCGCCGCCGCGCAAGTACACCTTTAAGGAGTGGTCAGTACCTCATAACGTAACTCCGAGTCCTACCCTTCTTCTTCTTTTTCTTCCCCTCTCCCAGTACCACTGCCACCACCACCGCAACCACTGCTACACTGGAACAAACCCCGCGCCCGTCCGTGCGCGCCCGTTACACAATAAACACGTTTCCTCATTTAGCCCATTCTTTACGCCTCAAAGCTCAAAATGCAGTGATATAGGCAATGGAGGTAATGTGATGTGATGTGATGTGCTGACGCGAGCAGGGCCTGGTACCTGCGACTCATCGGCGAAGACGAAAGCAACGCCGAGAACCACCGGCGGCCTGAGCGACATCCTCTCCCCCGCGGGCACGGCAGACATGCCCACGCCCACGCCCACGCC